TATTATAATTTGAATTATATGTAATGCATATTTAGTTCTTATTTATCTAATGTTTTGTTGTTTATTATGTCTAATATTATAATAATTAAATAGTGTAATAGCGCTATAGCCCATAAACCATAAAATATATTATATGGGATTCCTTATGTTTAATTTAAGGTTGTTCTATAAAAAAATAAATTTCATGATTATTACGCATATAAGTTTTACGCAAATATTTATTCATTAAATCAATTAAAATTATATACATTCACTATATGAAATTTTCGGCATTAATATATAGTAAAAAAAAATATTAGATATATTACATTGAATAAATAAAATTATAATCATTAGATATGAATTGTTAGTACTATAAAAATTGTCTTAATGCATATTATACTATAGAATTCATGTATCATATCCATTAAACTGACAATTTATATAGAATGTGCATTAACAATTTATATCAGACATAAAAGTGTTATGCTATAAATCATAATAATTTATATGAAATATATATAATTTTTTGTTGCCATAACGTTTTTGAAAGGAAAAATTATGTATTCTTCATTTTAATAAAAATTAATAAATAGATTCTGATATAAGTCATTAAAAACTGATTTTATAATTATGTTAATTATCATTACCAAAAATTATAATTTATTTATAAAATGAATTATATTAAGGGACGCGTTTTATTATATTTTTTACTAAAATATTTTTAGGTGTATCCAGTAATAAAAAAATGTACGTTAAACATAGTGTTCAACTTATTTGTAGCTTGACAGGATACTCTTTTATTATTTTTATAATAAGTCCATGCTATTGTGTATTTGTTAAAATTGCAATGATCTAAAAAATTTAAATTACTTATGATAAACATTGAATTGGGTATAATAAGTCCATATATATAATATATAAGGGGAAATTTTTATCATTCATAAATAATTTAAATACGTAAAATATAACGGGTTTTCATAAGACTTATATGCAAATATATAGTTTAATATCAGTACTAAACAAATTATATTAAAAAAATACCCAAAATATAATGTACTCATATATATATATATATA